ATACATACGAATAAGTGGAACCAGGGTCAAATAATAGAGATGCATCCTTATGGTATACTGAGACAATACTTGTGATCAATGCATCTGAAGCAACAACATCTAGTCAGGTCGGAATAACATAGAATCGGGCCTGGCCACCACCTGATCGGCCTCCCCCTCTAGGGCGGCCTCTAGCTGACTGGGCCCCATCCCAAGCTGGATGAGTGGGTGGTGTAACTGTTGGTGCTGGTACCAGTGGTCGCGAAGTCTATTGTGGAGTATTACCTAGGGCAGTCTTTCTTGATATGACCAAAGTCTCCGCACTCGAAACAACGTTCCTCCGACGGAATTATTGCTCCTGATAACCCGATAAACTACCTATAGAAGCTTGAGCGTACGAGGCATGGTGAGAACTCTGTGTTGGTAGTGCACTGAATGAAGACTGGCTTGAGCAGGCATTGTAAGAGTTGTGGATAGCTGATACACCATGATGAGATGTACGAGCCGTCTGGGCATGTCTATAAGGACGACCCTTGTCGTGGTGGGACTGACCCACACAAGGAATATCGTGAAGCCACCCGGTCCACGACGCCTCTTGGCCTCCTTCTCACCCTGCTCCTAACTGTGGACCACCTCTATCTACCGAGCAATGTCGGCCACCTCATCAAAAGTAGCCCCAGATACCCTCTTACAAGTCATAAGAAACCACATTTGATATGTGAGGCCATCAATGAACCTCCTAATCCTCTCCCTATTAGTGTGAACCAACCAAACTGAATGGCGAGCCAACTCTGAAAACCTCATCTCGTACTGCGTCAAAGATATGCCATCCTGACATAACTGCTCAAACTGTCTGTCGGTTTCTCTCTGCGAGACTACAACATGAAATTTTCCAAGAAGAGAACTAAGAACTTCTGCCATGTAAGTGATGCTGCACCGACCGACCTACGCCTCTCATAAGCCTCCCACCAACTGAAAGTAGCCTCAGTGAACTGAAAAGTAGTGAAAGAGAACCCACTGGTCTCCAAAATACCGGTCGTGCGGAGAATACGCTTACACCTGTCCAAGAAGCCTTGAGCATCTTCCGACTCTGCCCCACTGAAAGATGGAGGCCGGAGCCTCCCAAACCCCTTTAGTCTCTTCTGCTCATCCTCAGTCATAGCAAGAACTACATGGGCCTAAGCAGCTATAACTGGCTGGGCTAGTAGTGCCCCTGATGTCTGGAGTTCCTGCATCACCTACTTTGGTGTACGAGCAGCGAGAGTCTGTGTACCTCCACCGGCCTGAGAATTGGTTGTTGCGGCCGAAACAAAGACAACCTGAGCAAGACTACACATGGTCAGAATCTGAGCCAAGGCCTCCTGAAGGCCTAGAATCATAATGGGCACAACTGGTGTCTGAGCTGGCCCTACTAGCTCATCCACAACTGGAACTTGCTCCTGAACTGGGGCAACTGGTGGATCTGCAGGTGTTTCCCTAGCTACTATACGAGCTACACCTTTGCCCCTACCGCGGCTTGAGCCTCTCGTGGTCCTAAATGGTGGTATTGGTGGCTGTCCATCCTGCCCGGTAGCACATATCCTCACCATCTGTGAGAGAATAGAATAATAGATATTTAGGTACCGGAGTCAACAAATCTACATGACAAGAATACAAGAATCTGAAGTTTCCTAATGGTTCGACACCCTCTTGAAGATAACTACAGACTTCTCTGTACCGATCCGCAAGACTCTACTAAACATGCTTATAACTATGTAACCTAGGCTCTGATACCAACTTGTCATGACCCAAATCCTAACATGTCATGATGGCGCCTATCGTGGTACTAGGCAAGATGACATTTCCAAGACATTCTCAACATCTAACAGAAAATGAATCAAAGTAGTTTTTAAATAACAAAAATTCTCATAAACGGGGTAGAAACCCAAAACACAATGCGAATACTCCCGACATCGGGGTGTCACTGAATTCATGAGCATCAATACACCACAAATCTGGAAAAGAAATGTCTATAAAAGTCTGGATCTAAATGTAATAAATGTAAAGACAGGGAAGGGGAGACAAAGTCTGCGAAATGCCGGCAACTACCTCGAAATCTCCAAACGGTCAACTGAGCCAAGAAGTCAACACCCGCCATGACCGGAAACACCTAGATCTACACACGAAGTACAGGGTGTAGCGTGAGTACAACTAACTTAGTAAGTAACAATACTAAATAAAGTACTGAAAGTAGTGATGAACTCTGCAATTATAGTTCAATTTCAGTAATTTCAACATAGAAAAAATAAGCATGCTTTCAAGTTCGACAATTTAGGCCAAATCAGTTGTCTCATATCAAATTCAAGTAAGCCATAATATAACCTTCAGAAAACTTCCAAACAGTGATATATGGCAGCTAAGTGCAACAATAATGAAATCAAGAGCATCCTCTCAGAGCAACAGTCACTCAAACTTTCTCAATAGTTCATCACTCGGCACTCAACACTCGTACTCAATAGCTACATGCGCTCACTGGGGGTGTGTACAGACTCCAGAGGGGCTCCTTGAGCCCAAGCACTATAATCTGCATGGATAATTCACGTGCTGCACGGACAACTCACATACTATTGTAATAATATCTGGATCCACATAGACAAATCACGTGTTGCACAGACAACTCACGTGCTATAGTATAAATATTTGGATCCATACGGACAATTCACGTGCTACATGGACAACTCACGTGCTATAGTATCAATATCTCACAATCAGGCCCTCGGCCTCACTCAGTTATCAATCTCTCGGGCTCTCAGAAAACAAGAAAACCAGCCCAAACACAAATGGTATAATGTATCAACGAAAAACAATAGAGACTGAGATATAATATGCAAGTAGAACTGATTTTGAATACAACACAACAATTTTAGCAGTTAGATTAACATGTACACGACCTCTAAGGATTCCAACAGTATCAACACATAGTCTAAACATGATTTCTAACATGATTTGCAGTCAACTTTCTATAACACATGGAAAGCATATAGCTAGCAACAAGTTATTCAACTTCACAGTTTCATGGAACGGACCAAGTCCCAATTCCTACGGTGCACGCCCACACGCTCGTCACCTAGAATGTATGTCACCTCCAAACCAATCACAATACATAAAATACGGAGTTTCATACCCTCTCCCGTCAACCTTTCCAACATAAGCTTCCAACTTTGAGACTAATTGTCTCAATTCATTCTGATATCCATCCGAACCCGAACCAACTAACCTGGTAAGTCATGTAACAGCTATAAAGCACAAAAAGAGTAGTAAATAAGAGACCGGGCTACAACTCTCGAAACGACCGGTCTTACAATCATGTGCTTAATTATCTGATTGATTGAACACCAATTGAATACTATCTATAAATCTTGAATGGAACTCGAAAGTGAAAATTCTAAATTGCATACAAGATTGAGTAGAGCAAGTTCTTGAACACGGACATCGGAAAATAGATTCACGATTAGGATTAATTGCCTTGCTTATTTATTATACCGGAATTATAAATGTATTCTTGTTGATTCTAACTCAATAGACATATAGGTGTTAGGTTAGCTTGAATAGGCGAGTAAGAAATTGAAAGATTCTTATGAGAAATATTAACCCCAACGGCCACTAAACTAGATAAATTAGTTAGTCAATTCAGTTGAAGAATACAAACCCTAGATCGTTTTCATCGCATTGGTAACATAAAAATCTGTTCTTCTTTTGTTCAACGTTCACTATTTGTTTCTCCTTTATTTTAATTAGTTTAGATTCAAATCCTTGTTTAATCCTTGTTTAGATAATTAGGATAGTAATATTTAGTTAATAGTTGTTAAAACGTCTTTGCGGGTTCAATACTCTATTTTATCACTTTATTACTTAACGACCGTGTATACTTGCGTGTGCGTTTGGGCGCAACATTGTTGCTTGATACAAACAAATATTTTCACCTAAAAAAAGGGTGATTAGCCTCTTAACTTCGGAAAATTGAGGAGTACACGTTGAAGGCATTGGGCGAGCTGCCCAGCAGTTGTATTTTTCTAGAAAGCCCCATAGTGAAATTAATAAGAACAAAAAATCTCTTTCCAACGTCATTTCTTATTTCAACAAAAATTTAATTAGTGTTTCACGTTAATACATAACAAGCTATCGTGTCACACTCTTAATGATCAAGAGATTATATTACAATAAAGGAAACGAATATTGAAATCGGAATATTATCCTCCTTGGACCTGTAAATGTAATGCACAAAATCTATAGTCGCTTGGTTAAAACGATATTGTGGACCGCTCTAACTTCCCATTTGAGGTACTTTCGATATTAGTGAAAGTAATTAAAATTACTCTTTCCATGTAATCGTGATAGCATTTCTTATTTTCCTTACAGTATTTTGGGAATCCAAGAAACTCCAGATCGCCTACGCATTTCCCTACAGAGTGGAGAATCCAAGAATTTTATTATATATGCATATATGATGTTGTAGTATGCAATGACAGAGAAAATATTACTCCCTCCATTACTTGTTCACAATAGATTTTACACTCCTTAAAAAATAACAGATGAAGTATATATTTTATCATAATATTCATAATAACAATAGCATTTTAAGAAGTCTTGAAAAATAATTTGTAAAATAAGTAATTAATAATCATGATAAAACTTGTGGGGGGGGGGGGGCATCATCTCTTGAGTTGATAAAATTGACAAACAAAAGTGAAAATACATTTTTAACCATATCATTACTAAATATGGAATTATGATTTTCCGTAACATGCGCATAGCCAACAATTAGCTATAGAAGTTATTGGATGTACAAACAAAATCTCATATTAGTAACCGAAAAGATTGAGAAACTAGATGTATAAGAATCTCTAAATGGTAGGCCCTCAAAGGAAAACCATACGGACTTGTAAAACAATCGAGCTGGTTAACCTAAGAGAAGTTTAATTTTAACCCTTTTACCACGGCAAATCGAATTTGTAGCAGCTGACAAGCACATGGACGACCAATTATATATTCATGTCATATACAATAGAAAGTTGACAATTGACATCTTTGGCATTTCCAATCTCTTAAGTGTCGTGTTACGTACAACTTGGCAGCAGACAAGGCACATGGACGATCAAATACAACATTACTTTCATGAAACATCAAACGAAAGCTGAGAAATGAGTCATAGTGGGCAAAAGTTCTGTGAGGAACAGGACACTTTTAATCTAGAGCCTGTAAGGCTCTGTATATAATTCGAAGATGACTCCACTTTAACCAGATAATTTCAAAGCGAATACAACAATAACTACGCTTCACTCCCAAATTCTGTAGTAGAAGCGAGGTGTTGCAAGCACAAAGAAATATGGGAAGGCATAGTCATAAGTCCATCTCTAGAAGCCGGAAAATGATTCAGCGGAATAAGAAAAGCATTTATCAGTCACCCATTTGGAACAATCGAAACTAGAACAAATCACGAGTCAAAAGTCATCTCTTGATGTAACAACCTTGACCCCAGAAGCAGCTCCAATGCAGTGCATGGCTACAACAGAATCACCTTCCTTGCATAGCACTTATGTTTTGGCATGTCAGCTCCAATGCAGTGCATGGCTACAACAGAATCACCTTCCTTGCATAGCACTTATGTTTTGGCATGTCAGCTCCAATGCAGTGCATGGCTACAACAGAATCACCTTCCTTGCATAGCACTTATGTTTTGGCATGTCGAAGAGCGAATACCCTTAGGATGTTACCTTTTGAACCAAGAATATCTTCTCAATTGAAATTTCCGTTCATCGCGCCACCATAAATGCATTGGAGTTGGCAAAAATGTCATCAAGGCCCCGGGCATATCATGAACCCGCTTGACATTGGCAAAAAGAGAACATTGCTCCAAAAGTTTCTTTTTACCAATGTCATGCGAGTTCAACATCTGTTAAACAATTTTTTCATGGTTTAACAATAATTTACACATAAAGTTAGTAAAAGATTTTGACAAATTGTATTCAACTGGACACACTGGTACAAGCATAGGTCCGCATTGTTTTAGATGGATGAAATTCTTCAGCCCATGCTTAGAAATTAAGCCTCCAACTATAGATTAGTAAATCGGCCACCACTATGAGAAAATCGCTCATAGCAATAAATCTCACCAACTATGTACACAGTGTTCTGAAAGTGATGAATTTATAGGGTGAGACAACCTTGCTACACAACCTCAATGGTACAATCATCTATTTCCCAAAATGTGTTATAAATGCACAAAATTCAAAACACCAACCCCTCTCCAATCCTAAGATTCCAGCAACTACGCATCAATTCCAAGTAAATCAGATGGGCCCTCAATATTCATTCTGCTCAATTTAGACTCATTTCACTCCCATGCTGGAAAAGATTACCAAACACCAAAAGAACCTACTAATTTACATATAGAACCTACTAATATACATTTCACACGGCCGGTCACATTGAATAATAAGGAGAAATATTATTATTCATCTTCAATAATAGAAGATTACAGATATTTTTAATGCAAAATACTATGAATCGGTTCATCTTCAATTCTCACATGCATCTTCCATAAACATTGGATATAAACTTAGGCTAACTTTCTTCATTGGGTCAACTTGGAAACAAATTTTACCATAATTTATTTGCTAGCCAAACTATCTAGCTCGCTCTAATTATTTAGAGAACTATTTGAATGCAATTCATTTCCTGGAGGCAAGCAAGAGAGTCAACTGAATCTTGCAAAATTTTAACATGGAGGCTGACCTTGTAACAAGTTAGAACAATAATAATAAAAATGAAATAATTATAATTCATGCTAGAGAACTCGTTTAATTATAGGTAAGTGTATAAACTACAACCTTTGAAAAGCAATAAGATGTTCACACAAAAACATTCATAATACGTGAATTATTATTCCTAACATGGCATTGCTTAAACTTTTGTTTGATCCTTCACTATTATTCTCATGCCAACCACAACTAGTATGCATCTCTCCTTTTCTCTATATTGTAATTCTATATTATTGTACTTGTAAACATGTATCCAGATACATATGTGACAATGTACATAATTTTCACAAGTATGTATGGATATGTATATATGTTTTTTATGCATATTGTTGGAATTTAAGCTTTCATATTATAGTAGCCATAAATTGATTTTGGTAATTAAGTTGGTGAATATTTCAGTCAATATAACGTGGCTCTCAAAGACACAAGAAGACTGCACATGGTTTTGAACCTTTTCTCAAAATCAAGAAAAGACTTTCTTGAATCAGTAGGATTCAAGAAAAGACAACTCCCGCAACAAAATGATTTAATTACTTGAAAGGAAGTATATATCTTCGAATTTGACTGCTATGACGGTTGATTTTGCTCTAGGCATGTATACAAGAATTTGGATAGTCAATATCATTTTGCGAGAACTATGTTGAAATAGGACATCAACGTCCAATTTCAAAAAAGTCGGTAAGCTTTTACTTATATATTATTTTCCATTTCATTTCAGTGTTTTGCCTTGTCTTGAGAAGAATCGTGAAGACAAAACCAGCTTAACCACGCCATGCTAGAAACAATAAATACTTCACGCTTTATGAATGTTGTGTTATTAGCATCTCATTACTTTTCAAATGTCGTAATATATATAAACCTCCCTATAATGAACTTGTTCTCTAGCATGGATTATAAGTATGGATTATAAGTGTTCCTCTGTTGTTTCTAACTTGCTTATGTTAGAGACCTGTCAAGGTTAGCCTCTATTTTTATAAAATAATGCAATCAGTAATTTGATCATTTCTCTCGCATTTCCCGAAAAGAAAATTGCATTGAAATAGTTAGAATGAGACATTCTAATCAAGAAGGTATAGCAAATTGCACTCCCAATTTAATGCAAAATATTATGAATCGGTTCATCTTCAATTCTCACATGCATCTTCCAAAAACAACGGATATAAAATTAGGGTAGCTTTCTTCATTGGGCCAACTTGGAAATTTTTTTTTACCATACTTTATTTCCTAGCCAAACAATCTCGCTCTAATTATTTGGAGATTATGTCCAAGACTTGTAGCCTCCATTTTTACAAAATAATGCAAGCAGTAATTTAATCATTTCTCTCACATTTCCCGAAAAGAAAATTGCATTGAAATAGTTATGAGATATTCTAACCAAGAAGGTATAGCAAATTGCACTCCCAAGTTGCCCAAGTTAAAAATTACAAGTTTCTCTAATTTGAGATTCATTGTTTTCGAAAGATGCATGTGAGAATCGAAAATTAAAATCGCCCTATAGCATTTTGCATTTTGATATGAATAATGTGTTTTTTATATTGCATTTTAGTAACAATTTCTTTTCCTAATATGTTTTTATGCATGCAGTCGGTATTTATGTTTTCATCTTAAAATAGTCATGAATTGATTTTGGTAATTATGGTGGTGAATATTTCAGTAACTTGGCTCTCAAACACATAGTTTATGGATATATGTGATGTTGATCCTAATTTCTCGGGATTCGACTAGTCCCTTCATAATGACCTAATTACTTATGGGAAAGTGTCACTGTAGAATAGAGAATAAGACTAGATCAAGCCTAAGCAATTTCATGATAGGAATAATACTTCATGCTTTATCAATTTATTTTGTGAGCATCCCACTACTTTTCAAATATCGTAATATATAGACATCCTTACAATGAACTACTCTGTGACATGAATTATAGGTGCTTATTTATTGTTTGTAACTTGTTTTAGGTTCAAAACTTTCCAAAAGCTTGCTTTCCATTTTAAACTAATGAATTCTTTTTAATCATCTCTCCCACGCATCTGAATATGCATTAAATAGCAAGAATGAGACATTCCAAATCAGTAACTTTTAGATGCAAGAGCTTGGTACCCCACGTAGAAAAGGAAAATGCAGACAATTTGCTTTAATGAACGGAATAATATGTTTTTAGTAACATATCATAATAATCGTATTCCAAAAAGCAAAATACTACAAATTGATTCTATCAACAATTCTCATATGCATCTTTCGAGAACAATAAATCTGAAATTAAGTCAACTCATTATTTTTAATTAGATCAATTTGAAAGCACAATTGGTCATACTTTATTTCCTAGTCAAAATGTCTCATTCTAACTATTTTTTGATTGTTTTTCTTTTCTTGAGGCATAATAATTATAATACATATTGGAGAGCCAATTAATTATTGAGATATGTATAAATTACACCCTTTAAGAAGTAATGGGATACTCACACAAAAACATTTATAAATCATGACTTGTTATTCTTAACGTGACATTTCTTTAGTTTGGTTTACTCTTCAGCATTCTTCGAAATCACTAATTAGTATTTAGTATTTATCTCAATTCATTTCCATATTGTGATACTATAGTATTGTTCTTGTCAATATGTATGTAGATACATATGTGATAAAGTTTTCATTCATGTTGGCAGTTGTTCTCATGTTATAGCAAACAGAAAATGATTTTGATAATTATTATGGCGAATATTACAGTCAAAACACGGGTTTCAAAGATATTAACTTTGGCTTCACGTGATATCCATCCAATTTCTCAGGATTCAAAAGGAGACTACTCCCACAACCTGATGATTTAATCACTTGTGGAGAATCCTGCATTTTCAATTTAAACTGCTACCATTTGTTAGTTCTTCTTTAGGAATGTATACTAGGATTGTGATAGTCAGTCTTATTGGGTAGGAATAACGTCCAAATAGGACATTAGTGTCCAATTTCGACAGAGTTCACTAAAAGATTTTGAAAAAGATTTTATTTATTTTTTAGTAATTTAATTTGTTATAAGAGAGATATTAGTGAAAAATTAAAATAAGTTTAAGCAACGTCATACTAGAAATAATACTTCAACTTTATAAATATTTTTTTGTGAGTATCTCATTTCTTTTCAAGGGTAGTACACACACTATCTCCCTCAAATGAATTGGCTCTCTAGAGTAGATTGTAGGAGTTTCTTTATTACTTTAGGCTTGTTTTATGTTTAAGAAATGTCAAAAAATTTAATATAACACAATTTATAAATTAACAATTTCTCTCTCACACCTTCTAGAAATTAAAATTTGCATTAAAATAGTTTAAAACAACCATTATAACCGAGTAAAGTATAGTAAATTGTGCTTCACAGTTCCCCCAATTAAAAATAATGAGTTGTCCTAATTACAGATTAATTATTTTCTAAATATACATGTGAAAATTGAAGATTAGATCGATTAAATAAGGGTATTCAAAGTGCTATTAAACAACACATTGTTCCCAAGATAACAAAAACAAAAACATGTTCTTCACTTTGTGAAGAAAATAGTAATCATATTCCTTTACTTGTGATTCCTAGTCAAGGTGGCTTAGACTAACTATTTAATTGTGATTTTCTTTTTCCTTGGATATGTAGGGGAGAATGAATAAATCATAGACTGCATAATTTAAGATAAAGGCAAACCTTGGCATGTGTTGAACATATTAAAATTTAGAAATATTTAAGAAAAAGAAAAAAATCTAATAAAATAATAGAGAATTAGTACATTTTAGGGAAATATAATATTACAACCTTTGAAAAGCAATGAGATGCTCACACAAAAAACATTCATAAAGCTTGTGAAGTACTATTCCTAGAATGGAATTGCTTAAGCTTGATTTTCTTAGTTATTCTTATCATGACTACCACTAATTAGTATCCATTTCCTTTTCATAGATTGTAATTCTAAATTATTGTGCTTGTCAAGATGTGTGTCGACACTTATGTGACTATGTACATAGTTCATACTCCTTCCCGTTTAAAAAAGATTGGCACCATTACTATTTGGGAAGTCTTAAGTGACCACATTTTTATTGAACATTTTATAAATATATTGAATTATGAATTATGACTTATAATACCTTTTATGTAGTTTCTGAAAATATAAATTTTATTTTCAAAAACTTGAAGAATCTAAGTTCAAATTTACGGTTAAAGTTAAGTAGTTTGACCCTGGTGCTCCGAACTATGCCAATCTTTTTGAAAAGGATGATGGAGTATGTATTTATGAATATGTACATGTTTTTATGCATGTTGGAATGTGTGTTTTCATGTTAATGATGATGGTGAATATCAGTGGAAGTAAAGCGTGAGTATAGGTCGAAACTTTTAACCTTCCACTGAGAAAATATGCATTATATTTCCTAAGAAACATTTTATTTTTAGCAGCTCAACAGACCTTGTCAAATTAATAACAATGAGGAAAATAAAAAAGGACGATAGCAAATTCAGCAGATCCAGTGTTTACAAATCTTATCATGAAAGAGTTAAGACCTCCGTGAAATTAGGTCCCGAATTTAAGCATGTTAAAAATCTAAAGCCCTTAATTAAGAATCAAACAACTGGTAACGGAAAATATAATGATCGAAGACTACAGACCTGGAAATTGTGAAATAGAATATAATAGGGCTTGTGATTGAACGCACCGTTTGAAGACGGAGAGGCATAGTGTTGAAGTGCAGCGTAAGAGCAGCTTCAGGAATTCTGCCTTCCACCTACTCCGGCGGCGGCGGCTCGTTTTGGACGATTGAATTTGAATTTAAGAGTGAGAAGTGATAGCTCTTTAAGTAAGCGGAGGAAATACAGCGTTAAGGGTTAGGCGCAATGCATTTTACGCGTGGCGGTTTGTATGTGGCGATATATGCCGCCCAGCATTTGTATCTTTCTAGGGAAAGCTCATGAAATTGAAAATACAAAATTCGAGGTCATTTTTTCATCTTTCCGATGTCCTGATATCATTTTTTTATTTCGAAAAAATCAGTCCCTAACTTAGTGAAGGAGGGCAAATTCTGAACTTAAAAAACAGAGTGGAAACGGGAAGGACAGTGAAAGGCCGAAAATTTCCGTTTGTGGATTTTCCAAGAAACAAACTTGTGCTTCTTGAATGCCTTAATCTTTTCACTTTGTTCTTTCTTGGCTGCTATCCGCTTTACAAATTCGGCATGAAAATTTGCGTTAATGTTTCTTGGTTTTTGAGCGACCTAAGACTATGAAATTTCTTTGCCATGCGTGTATATTAGTTGCCTTAATATTTCATGGTAATTGCATACCTTTAAAATGTAAAAGTATAATATATACATAATAATTATATATTATACAACTTATCTATACTTTATTTACAACTTTCACATATTATTTCTATCCAGTTATATACAACTACAATATCATACCACGTAAATACAATTTTTATACAATATGTCTTTTGCATATTTTGTATCTGATTTATATATAGTAAAAATAAATTTCATACAACTAATTATATATTATACAACTTATCTACAATTTTCACACATTATTTCTACCCAGTTATATACAGCTACAATATCATACAACTTAAATATAATTTTTATACAATATTGTTCAACTTTCATACAATATATATATATATATATATATATATAGTTCGCAATAGTTCAATCATTCAACTAGTGCACTAGTAGTCACTTGTTTCCTTCAAGTTTGTTTTGTTGCCAGTTGTGCACTAGCGAGTATCCTTTAGCTTGTTGTAGGTGTAGTGGTTGTAGTCTGGAATGATAGAGTAAGGACATGTCCTCAGGTGGGGCAGAGTGTGGGGCGGGGGCTNCTAATGAGTAAGTCCATAGAGTTGACGAAGATCCTTTAGAAGATGAAGATTAATATAGCGTGTGTCCAAGAGACTAGGTGGGTCGGATCCAGGACGAAAGACGCGGATGGGTATAAGTTGTGGTACTCTGGAGTCCTGAGAGGTAAGAATGGAGTGGGTATCCTAGTAGATAATCATCTTCGAGAGGTAGTAGTAGAGGTTAGGCAGGTGAATGATAGATTAATGACTATTAAGTTGGTGGTGGGTGAGTGTATTTTAAATGTCCTTAGTGCCTACGCGCTGCATGCAGGCTTGGATAAGGAGATTAAAAGGCGTTTTTGGGAGGGGTTGGATGAGATCGTGCGTAGTATTCCGCCTGCTGAGAGGTTATTCATAGAAGAGGATTTCAATGGTCATATTGGGTCGTCTGCAGGTGGTTATACTGATGTGCATTGTGGTTTCGGGGAAGGGAATGGAGGGGGCACTTCGTTGTTGGACTTCGCCAAGACATTCGAGCTAGTGATTGCGAACTCTAGTTTCCCGAAGCGGGAGGAGCATTTGGTTACTTACCAAAGTTCGGTGGCGAAGACTCAGATTGACTATCTTCTCCTCAGGAGATGCGACAGGAGGTTGTGCGAGGATTGCAAGGTTATCCCAGGTGAGACCCTCACAACGCAGCATAAGCTTTTGGTGATGGACATTGGTATTATGATAAGGAGGAAGAAGAGGTCAGTACAAGGCCGCCCGAGGATTAGGTGGGGCGCCTTGACTAAGGATAACGCTCAGGAGTTGGAAGGAAGGTTATCGGCAATGAGAGCTTGGAGAAGTAGTGGAGACGCAAACACTATATGGTCGACGACTGCGGACTATATAAGGAAGGCGACAAGAGAGGTGTTAAGGATATCTTCGGGTCGTACTGGTGGCCACAAAAGAGACTGGTGGTGGAATGCAGTTGTCCAAGGTAAAGTGGAAGCGAAGAAGGCGGCTTACAAGCGGTTAGTAGGGAGCACTAGCGATGAGGAAAGGAGAGCGAACAGTGAGAAGTATAAGGTAGCTAGGAAGGAGGCGAAGATGGCAGTCACTAAGGCTAAGACTGCGGCTTTTGCTCGTCTGTATGAGGAACTGGGTAACAAAGGCAGGGAGAAGAAATTATTCCGGCTGGCTAAGGTGAGAGAGAGGAGGGCTCGGGATCTGGACCAAGTGAGGTGCATAAAAGATGATGACGACAAGGTTTTGATGGGGGATGACCAGATTAAGAGGAGGTGACAGACCTACTTCCATAAACTTCTAAATGAAGAAGGAGATCAGGATATTATACTAGGTGAATTGAGGAATGCCGACAGTCCTCATTACTTTAGTTACTGTGGGGACATTGAGGTCGGGGAGGTCATGGAGGCAACGCGTAAGATGAGGGGCAGAGCTACCGGGCCAAATGAAATTCCGGTTGAACATTGGAGGTGTGTGGGTAGAACAGGCTTGGAATGGCTTACTGGGTTGTTTAATGTTATAGTCAAGACGAATAGGATGCCTGAAGAGTGGAGGTGGAGTTCAATGGTTCCGTTGTATAAGAACAAAAGCGATATCCAGAGCAGTAACAACTATAGGGGTATCAAATTACTGAGTCATACCATGAAAGTTTGGGAGAGAGTGGTAGAAATGAGAGTGCACGGGACGATGTCTATTTCAGACAACCAGTTCGGCTTCATGCCGGGGCGTTCTACCACAGAAGCTATCCACGTTATTAGGAGGATGGTGGAACAGTATTGTCATACCTCCTTTTTCAGCTACACCCCCGCTAAGGGACGTAAAAGGAGTTTTTCCAATTAAAGGACAATCGAAACGGGATTTTATTTAAAGATTCAGAGTCGCCACTTGGGAGATTTGTGGTGTCCCAAGTCACCGGTTGAATCCCGAATCGAGGAAAAGAATGACTCTGTTTAACAGTCTGCGCACCAGAAATCCGGATAAGGAATTCTGTTAACCCGGGAGAAGGTGTTAGGCATTCCCGAGTTCCGTGATTCTAGCACGTTCGCTCTACTATCATATTCGGCTTAATTATCTGATTTTTATACAATTATGAACCTATGTGCAAATTTTAACTGTTCACCGCTTTTGTTATAATTTATTCAAAGAATTGCAACATCGTGAGAATGCATCTCGAATTGCGCCACATAAATATACCCGCAATTTTCGATACGTTCCAACTACGTTGAAATTTGGATTTGGGTTACATAAATGTGCACCCGAGTTTAGGAAGATTACAAATACGTGCCTAAAGACTAACGCATTGTTATTTTGAGAAAAGCCGTAAAGCTCGCTATGCGACCTGTCTCGAAATCTAAGCATTTGAAATAACTGTCCGTTGAGGGGCCCGCAGTTTGTGTATTCTTGTTTGTCGAAGCTCGTCTCATTCATTATTTTTTTTAAAAGAATTTGCAACGTCATGGAAATGTATCTCGTACCACGTCACAATCAATGTACCCGTGATTAGCGACACATTTCGACTTAGTTGAGATTTGGATTTGGGTCACATAAATATGCACCCGAGTTTAGGAAGATAACATTATTAAATACGCGCCTAACGACTAACCTGTTGTTATTTTGAGAAAAAACATAAAGTTCTCTATGCGGCATGTCTCGAAATCTAAGCATTTGAAATAAATGTCCGTTGAGGGCTCCGCAGTTTGTGTATTTTATTTGGCGAGGCTCGTCTTTTTTTTTATTTTAAAAAAACTAATAAGCCTAAAGCAACTATAATTTGCTATTTTTATTGTCTCTAAAGTAAAAGAAGTCCTAATTAATTAATATTATAAAAGCGGGCTTCGAGTTCAATTTCGAGTCCAAACCGAAGGACGGACCTTTTAATTTGAACCCGCTACCTAACTCAAAGCCCCAAACTTATATTGTGTTAATTATATACTGAGACTTTTAAATCAGGCCCAAATTAAATGGGCCAACTAATTCTACTTGTGAACGAACAACAACAGGTGGGCCTTGAGGCAAGCCCAAAACCGAATGGGGCGTGCTAAGCTGCGTAGGAGAGATCGAGGGATCGAGCCCCTGACGTCAAGCATTTACTTATTTATTTTTGCATGTCATTAGGTAAGCATCCTGATTTTATAGTGAAAGCAGCACGTCGTTCTACTTGGAACAACTTGAACAAAATAACCACAACACTCTTTATGGGCCAATTTTAACATGCCATGATGTAGTAAATAAACAGTCCTATTAACGAAGTTAAAACTGAAATTACTACTACTGAAATTACCAAAATGGACTATTTCAAAAAAAACATAAGACTCGGAAATTAATCTAACTATCCTATTAGCCTAACATAAAACTAAATACATCCACTACTCGAGATCATATGCTTATATACATTCAAGACATATGGAGTGATAATCTAGGTAATAAAGAAACAATTTCAGTTTATTTATACAGTCCTGTCAAATATAACTGACAGCTGAACTTCCATTTCATCTCAACTTCAACTTCAAATGCGAGCTTACATCGATACAGGTTTTTAGAATGTGTACCTGGAAATGGAATACAATGGAGAAGAAATAGGAGATCAGCAGCAGTAATACAAACAGTAGTTGCAACAGCAGTGCAACAACAAATAACCAGCAACTATAAACAACTCCAAGTATAGAGCAGAAGTAAAAAGAAGAAAGGTTCTAGCTATTTCAGATCCTAAGTGAGGCAATGAAAACAGTAGGTATTCTTTTCAACTCCCAAGCTCTCAAAAATTAATCCCCCTTCTTCAGTCCTAATTCTGCCCTCTTATACAAACCTTCCCTCTCTTTCAAACTTAACTGCCCGACCCCCTTCCCCACTAAAAATCTGCCTTTTTCCACTTAAAACCCACTAAGGAAAGTTTTTTCCTTATTTTCATCCCTCCATTCCCTCTTGTTCCCCATTACCATATTAATTTAAAGACACTAATATCCCACTAACAAAACACTAACATTAAAATATTATCCTAACTGTTCCATTCCCAAATCACCCCTGAAACTACTGAAATTACCATTATACCCCATCAGCTATATCCAATCCTCTTAATCAATTAACCAAACTATAGCAGCTACAACCAATCTTAAGTGAGAAATCCTAACAATTAACTAATCAAATCATATGAGACTAACTCCCAATTGACAACACTTAGGACTCAGTTTATCATGGTCAGATTCATATCAACAAACTTAATAGGACAAACAAGTAGATTCAAATCACTAAACTCGATCATCAATTGAACTTCAAATTAAATCCAACAACATTACAACCAAGATAAAGGATTCAATGATTCAGAACCATTGTATTGAACTAGTAAGGTCGAAATTGATTCACACAGATATAAGGGAATAACCTAACTCTATTGGGAACAAAATCACAATTAACTTACAAAAC